TACAATAACAATTCAAACAATTATGGTAGAGGTACTTGGCAAAACAACAACAATTCACTATTACGGAAGAAACTCCATGTGGCACAATAACAATAATGCAAACAATTATGATAGAAACAATGCCTGGCAAAACAACAACAATTCAAACTATAACGGAAGAAACTTCAGGTGGCACGATAATAGCAATTCAAACAATTATGATAGAAATAATGCCTGGCATAACAATAATAGAGATGGTGGAAACAATACATGGAAAAACTATAATCTAAGAAAACAAATACAATATCATGATCAGAGCCAAAGTAATAGCAACAATTGTAATATGAATATTGAAGAGATTGTGGAAAATAAAAATGATGTTACACAAAATAATAATGATAGTGATTTTAATACAACAATTTAACCGAGCATAAACTCAATGACAATGCATTTATGACTTCCTTAAAAATAAACGATGTTACCGTTACAATGCAAGTCGATACTGGATCTAAATTCACAATTATACCTCCTGATATGGCTAAACAAATAGGTATTAAAGATCTTAAAAAGTCCACTCTACAACTCACAGCTTATGATGGAAACTTAATTAAAATTATTGCGTCACTCAAGTTAAAGTAACCTACGAAGGTATCACCAAACACTTGCAAGCCGTGGTAGTTAAATCTAATAAAAATGTTATTGGGACGTATGTGGATTAATGCCTTTAGTGATATTTTGAACAAATTTATAGCAAACATTGATACCAACTATGAAGATGAAATAAAGAAATTAATAAAAGATTGCGAATCTAAACTGACTAAAAAACCGATCCAAAGGGAATGTCAAGATATATCTACGTAATGACGCCAAACCGAAAATCATACCACCTAGACGGTTACCTTATTCAAAGATAGACGCTGTTACTAGAGAACTTACGAGATGGATAGGAGATGGAGTCATTGAGCCGGTAACAGATGTCCGATGGGCAAGTCCGATAACCGCTGTCTACAAGGATAATGGGAGCGTTAGGGTTTGCGCCGACTTCAAAGACACTGTCAACCCAGCCCTTGAGGACTTCAGATACCCACTTCCAAGAATAAACGATCTTATCGCTAAGCTCAAGGAAGGGAAGAAGTTTACCAAGATAGATTTCAAGGATGCGTTCCTACAAATTCCCATCGACGAAACCTGCAGAGACATATTAACTATATCTACACACAGGGGGTACTACCGGTTTACCAGACTTCCTTTTGGGTTAAAGACTTCATCTGCGATTTTTCAACAAATTATGGATCAAATTTTCGGTGACATGAAAGATGTCGTATTTTATATTGATGATCTACTAATAACGGGAAGTAGTGACAAAGTTCAATCAACAACATAAAAAGGTTTTTGAAAGAATACTATCTGCTTAGTGCCTAATTTTGCAAATAGCTTATTTTTCAAAAAAAGTCTAAGGTTCTTAGGACACGACATCGACGCCAATGAGATCCACGCCAACCATGACAAGATCGAGGCGATCGTTAAAATGCCGGAACCAAAATCAGCCGCGGAATTGTCAACGTTTCTAGGTATGGCCGGTTACTACAGAAAATTTTTGAACAACTTCGCTGAAATAGCTGATCCTTTATACAAGATTGTCATCAAAAAAAATGGGAGTGGAATTTGGAACACTCCAAAAGTTTTGATGATCTAAAGACATTGATTAGTCTTCCTCCAGCTTTGACGTACTTTAATCCTGAATTACCCATCGGAATTGCGACTGATGCATCTAAAAGAGGTTTAGGAGCTGTTTTGTTTCACACCGAAAAAGATGGCAAAGAAAAGCCAATAGCTTTTGCCTCGAGAACGTTAGCAAAGTCCGAGACAAACTATACCAATATTGAGCGTGAAGCTCTGGCCATTATGTTTGCAATCAAGAGATTCCAAGAATACTTGATAGGGACCAAGTTTACTATTATAACCGACCACAAGCCATTAATCCATATTTTTACCAAAGGACTGAAAGATAATAGTACCATGTCCTTAAGATTACAAAAGTGGAATATAATTTTAGGGGGTTACGACTTTAACATCAAGTTTAAAGCTGGCAAATATAATGTTGTTCCTGATTGCCTCTGGAGATTACCACAAGTAGGTGTGGATGACGCTATTGATGATTCGCGATTATAAATGACTTTGGCGATATACCTCTGAGTTTTGACCAAATACGCGATCAAACATCCAAAGATTTTGAACTATCTCAAGTTATGAGTGACATAAGAAATAATGTGCCTATCCAAAATAAAATTTATGAAAATATTGAATACGAACTAAGTATCATTAAAGATTGTCTGTACAAAAGCGACAAAATAATAATTCCATCAAGTCTGAGAAAGAACATACTGAAGGCGTTACACGAAGGTCATTTGGGAGCAGGTAAAATTAAATCCTTAGCCAAAGATCGTATGTGGTGGTCTGGTATGGTCAACGACATTGATTTGGAAGTCAAAAATTGCGATGATTGTAATATTTATCATGACAATCCAAAGAAAATACAAAATACATGGGTAGCAACTAAACCATTTGAAAGGATACACATAGATTATGCGGGTCCATTTTTTACAAAGAATTGGTTGATAATCGTTGATGCTTACAGTAAATTTCCGGTTATAGTTCCGGTAAAGAGTATTACGACTGAATTCACGTTAAAGGAAATTTATAAAACTATTTCACTATTTGGTATACCTGAAACCATTGTTACAGATAATGGTACCAATTTCACGAGCAAAGATTTTGAAAAATTTTGCAGCAATTATGGTATAAAACATGTACTAACGTCGGCCTACCATCAGCAATCTAATGGACAAGCTGAACGTATGGTGAGAACATTTAAAGCTCACATGAAAAGAAACATAAAGATTGACTTAGAAACTGCGCTGGACAGATTTTTGTTCAACTATAGAAACACGCCGAATGACACTACGGGAGTTACACCGTCCAAGAGAATGTTTAACCGCGACATTAGAAGGGATTTATTAAAACCTTTGGAGGATAAAGTTGATGAAGTCAACATATCGTTACCACGAAATCGAACTTTTAATAGAGGAGACTATGTTTGGTATAAGAAACAGGGTGATGATACGTGGTGCAAAGGCAGCATCAAGCTTAAAGAGAGTAACACCATGTTCCAAGTTTATACTGATAAAGGGATAGTAAGAAGGCATCTTGATCAGTTAAGGAAAAGATAATGTTACAACAGTTTAAAATATTATGAAATTGACCCTAAGAATTCCTCTAAGGGGGGAAGTGTGGACACGAAGAATGAGATTAAGATACCAATTACTAGACCAATAAGAATTAAAAATAAACCTGATTACTTAAAAGATTACGTGCTTAAAATTTAAAAATTAAACGCTTATAAAATATGAAACGCTAAAAAAAATGTAAAACGCAAAAAATGTAAAACGCAAAAAATATAAAACGCTAAAAATATAAAACGCTAAAAGTATAAAACGCTATGATTAACTTAACACCTAAAAATAAAATAATAATCATTATGATTTATCATTCCTCATTCTGGATTAAAATTTTATTCCTTATTCCATAAATTATCATTCCTTATTACATATTTTATTGTTCCGAAATTCAAAATTTTATTCGTGCATATTATTCATATATTTGATTTGATCAACTATTCCAAATTACATATTCCGATTTATTCCAAATTCCAATATTCGACTGGATTAATTATGAAACATGATAATAAAAATTTTGAGAAATGTGAACAACATACGATAAGGATATCAAGCCAACGATAACGTTCAACGATTTTATCAAACCTACGCGATTGATTCAAGCCTACAAAAAACGTACAAACTCACGCAACTCTAATAAACGATTTTATCAAACCTACGTGATAGAATCAAGCCTACGAGAACATTTGAGACTTATGTGCTAACCAAGATAAAACCGAGTACAATCGAAATGGGAAAAAACTTCTGGGACAACAAGCTCTCGATGACTGCTGAGAAGAAGCTTCGTTCTTTGTAGAAGAGGGGGAATGTTGATTGATCATATATTTAAATAAATTTAAATAATTAATCTTAAATTTAAATAGTTAATCTTATATTATTAATTGATATGTTTGATATAATTTAACTATTTCAATTACCATAGTCGACTTTGGTTATTTGTAATTTACTTATTATTCACTAAACGTGATTGTAAACATTTGTTATATTATATATTTTTCAATTAACTTTTATATATATATATACTGATATATTTTTAGTTCTTTTAGATATATAATATTAATATAATATTTTAAAAAATAATTAATTTGAATAGCTTACTTCAAATAGAAATAAACAATAATATTGACACCTCTCCATATAATACCCAAAGGCCCTTTTAAGGGCCAGTTAAAAATTGTAGAAGAAAAAGAGTTTAAAGATAATAAAACATTAAGTTTTTGTTTCCATCAAAAGAGAAATTTATATTTTATATAATTCAAATAAAAAGAATAAACAACTTTTCATTTTAATGTGAATTCTCCTGATATAATTATGGAATAAATATTTTAAATTATATATTTTATTTGAATTTAATAATATCACCTTTGATTCAATTTTAACTATATTTCTTTATCTTAATTTTATTCTTAGCACATAAATTAAACTATCAAAAGTTTATAAAAATGATAGTATTCTTAAATCTTATTAGAAAATTTTTATTTTCATTGTTTTGCAAACTTGGCCTACATTTTGATCAATTCATTCGCAAATCCTATAATCTTACCTTATTTTCCAAAACATCTTTAATTTTTTATATATCTTACCCTTTTAAATAGCCAAAATAATGTAAAGCAGCGCATAAAAGTTTCCCTGTTCTTTATTATTGCATTATTTAGAAGTGACTCACTAAAACAAATATTTTTTGAAGGTCATTTTTTATTATAAGATATATAATTTATAAAAAAATATTTGTACTATTGATTATATAAAAATTAATATTAAATATTTTGTTTAAAAAATGATAGCGTTCTAATTTGATTTGAGCTTGTAGATATATTCCCAACTTTCACAAAAGAAAAATTTGAAGTTGGGACATTTGTGGTGTTTTTTAATGGTAATGTCAGTTTGGGCATATTATTTGGTAAAATCCCTTAAAGAAATAAATATTAAATATTATAAAAGTGGTCTATTACTAAAAGGATTTAATGGCCTAATATTAGTTCCATGTGGTAGTACTAAAATAAAATAATCAGGTATATATAATAAAAGTTATTTACAGAAACTGTGGAGTACATTGTTCATTTTTGCAGAAGTATCCTCTGGTAATATCTTTTTTTATAATTGATTTGTATTTAATAGAGGCCCTACAAGAAAAACATCAGATAATAATATAATTAAGTAATTTCATTACTAAAAGAATCTTTTTGTCTATTATAATCACAAGAATGGATAACTATATTCTTATCTGATGAGCCAGCAGTGTGCTTTTTAGCATTAGCACATCCTTAAAATAATATATATAAAAAAAATTAAATTAAGTTTATTTAAAAATCTAATCTAACAATATATAATAACCTATAAATGTTTGCATTGATGAATGTAAACTGGTAGAATCTTGAAAATATATTATGCATTATTATAAAAATTTATAAAAAAATACTTGTGTTTTCAGAAAGAGTTTGCAAGGGTTTACTATTTGTGAAAATTTTTATTGAGGGAAAACTAGTATCTAAAAAATATATATTGTAAAGACATAAAAATTTTTTTTGCTTTTAGCCAAAAAAAGTGATATCAATGTAACTCTAAAATATATAACCTTTCATATATATCATATGCTTAAAGTTGTGATTATTTTCTTTGTCCATTATATTGATGTTATTTATTTGTTTTTCTTTCATCACTTTCACTTTTCACAAATAATATAAATGAATTTAAAGATCAAACCTTTTCTTATATTTTAGCATCTTTGCGTCTTTTCAAATATCCAGGACTCATTTTTTCTGGCATTTCAATATTTTTAATATTATTGAAATTGATTTCTACTTCACTAACTTGTTTCAGTTGATTTTCTAGTTTTTGTTCGACATCTTTTATATATATTTTTTAAAGTTTACAGTATATTATAATTCATTAAAAAATTTATTAATAAATTCTAAAAAAAAATGATTACCCATGTCATTAAATTTAAATCCTGATGTTGGATTAAATATATTGATAGCATGTTCAAATTGTTCAATAATTTTAGGAATAGGTTGACATAGATCTTTATATACATATTTTAAGTATGTATAAATTTTGTTAAATGCATTTTGATTCAGGTAATAAAATAGATTTTAAATATCCACAACTACAATTTGAGGGCAATACTGTTAAAGTTGAATTTCCTTCATCATGGGATGTTGATAATTTTAGCTGATCTAATATCCTTTTAAAAGCAGCATTGGTCAATATTTTTTGATATTTATAATCTTCACTATTTTGAGGATAACTAATTGGAGATAATTTTTTAAGATTCATAATTATTTTATGATCCTTTTCCGGGCATGACTAAAATACGCGTCCCCGAAAACTACGCGTCCCTACACGTCCCCGGTCAAACGGGTTTAATTTATATAATATTAATAAAAAATCTTATTTAGCTTTACAAGATGAGTTAAAAAATGTTTTTTATGATTTAAAAAAAAAATTATAACTTAGTAAATTTTTTAAAAATTTATTTTTTTACATCAACCCCGGTCAAGATACATTTATTTTTAAAAAATAAAAGCAGATTTATATTTAGCTCATTAAATGAATATAGAAAATGTTTTTTATGATTTAAAAAAAAATGATAACTTAGTAAAATTTTTAAAAAATTATTTTTTTAAATTAAAAACTACGCGTCCCCGGTCAAGATACATTTTTTTTAAAATAAAAGCAGATTCATATTTAGCTCATTAAATGGATATAGAAAATGTTTTTTTTTGATTTAGAAAAAAAGAGGTAACTTAATAAAATTTTTAAAATACTAATTTTTTACATAAAAACATTACGCGTCCCTACGCGTCCCCAGTCAAGATACATTTTTTTTTTAAAAATAAAAGCAGATTCATATTTAGCTCATTAAATGGATACAGAAAATGATTTTTTTGATTTTTAAAAAAAGTGGTAACTTAGTAAAATTTTGAAAAATCATTTTTTTTCTTCCTTTTTTGACTAAAATACACGTCCCTACGCGTCCCCGGTCAAGATAGATTATTTGTATAATAATGAATATAGAATCGTGTATAGTTTTTAAGGAGATTACGAAAATGGTATTTATAATTTTTTTTTTTTAAATTTTTTTTCGAAAAATTTTTTTTTGACTAAACTACGCGTCCCTACGCGTCCCCGGTCAAGATATATTTTTTTTAAAAAAATAAAAGCAGATTCATATTTAGATCATTAAATGGATACAGAAAATGTTTTTTTTTATTTAAAAAAAAGTGGTAACTTTGTAAAATTTTGAAAAAACACTTTTTTTTTTCATTTTTTGACTAAAATACGGGTCCCTACGAATCCCCGGTCAAGATAGATTATTTTTCTAAAAATGTATATAGAATCAAAATTATTAATATCATTTTCGGAATCTCCTTAAAAAACTATACACGATTCTATATTCATTTTTATAAAAATAATCTATCTTGACCGGGGACGCGTATTTTAGTCAAAAAATGAAAAAAAAGAAGTGTTTTTTCAAAATTTTACTAAGTTACCACTTTTTTAAAAAATCAAAAAAAATATTTTCTGTATCCATTTAATGAGCTAAATATGAATCTGCTTTTATTTAAAAAAAAATGTATCTTGACCGGGGACGCGTAATTTAGTCAAAAAAAATTTTTCGAAAAAAATTAAAAAAAAAAATTATAAATACCATTTTCGGAATCTCCTTGAAAAACTATACACGATTCTATATTCATTTTTATAAAAATAATCTATCTTGACCGGGGACGCGTAGGGACGCGTATTTTAGTCAAAAAATGAAAAAAAAAGATTTTCAAAATTTTACTAATTTACCACTTTTTTAAAAAAACAAAAAAAAAACATTTTCTGTATCCATTTAATGAGCTAAATATGAATCTGCTTTTATTTTTTAAAAAAAAATGTATCTTGACTGGGGACGCGTAGTATAGTCAAAAAAAAAATTTTTTGAAAAAAAATTAAAAAAAAATAAATTATAAATACCATTTTCGGAATCTCCTTGAAAAATTATACACGATTCTATATTCATTTTTATAAAAATAATCTATCTTGACTGGGGACGCGTATTTTAGTCAAAAAATGAAGAAAAAAAGTGTTTTTTCAAAATTTTACAAGTTACCACTTTTTTTAAAAATAAAAAAAAACATTTTCTATATCCATTTAATGAGCTAAATATGAATCTGCTTTTATTTAAAAAAAAATGTATCTTGACCGGGGACGCGTAGGGACGCGTAATGTTTTTATGTAAAAAATTAGTATTTTAAAAATTTTACTAAGTTACCACTTTTTTTTTAAAATAAAAAAAAAACATTTTCTATAACCATTTAATGAGCTAAATATGAATCTGCTTTTATTTTTTTAAAAAAAATGTATCTTGACCGGGGACGTGTAGTTTTTAATTTAAAAAAATAATTTTTTAAAAATTTTAATAAGTTATCATTTTTTTTTAAATCAAAAAACATTTTCTATATTCATTTAATGAGCTAAATATGAATCCTATTTTATTTTTTTAAAAAAAATGTATCTTGACCGGGACGCGTAGGGACGCGTAGTTTTTTGATGTAAAAAAATAAATTTTTAAAAAATTTACTAAGTTATCATTTTTTTTTTAAATCATAAAAATCATTTTTTAACTCATCTTATAAAGCTAAATAAGATTTTAATATTATATAAATTAAACCCGTTTGACCGGGGACGCGTAGGGACGAGTAGTTTTCGGGGACGCGTATTTTAGTCATGCCCTCCTTTTCCTAGTTTGAAGTATCTATACATATATTCAAATTTTTGAAAAAAATTATTAAATTTGAATCTTTTTTAATCAGGGTTTTGAGGACCCTATTCATGCTCTGTCCTATTATTTGTATAAATAGAAAAATTGGTTGTTTTACATCGCCATGCATAAGACCACTCATGTCGAATTGGGTGCCAATTGTTATTAAAATATATTTCCACATCTGGAAAATTTAAGGCCATTAATGAATTATAAATTTCCCAATAAAGCACTTCTGTTTTTGAGTAGATCATTTTTTTCAAAAGATTTAATACAACCTTTACCTGGGTAGAATTTATATTTCTCTTTTTAACCGTTATTTCTCTCATAAATGTTTGTTGTACATGGAATGTACATATTTCAAGTGAGGCCATAGGAAAGGCTTCTCTATAAGCATGTCTATCAGCGAAGTCCTTATCTGCAATTATTACTTTAATTTTATTATTATTATCATTATATGATTTAAATAAATCACACATATTTTTAACTATTAAATAATTTTCAGACTTTACAACCCAGATGGCAGCAAATCTTGTTTGCTCTTCTCCATCAATAACGAAGAGAGTAAACACTGGCATTTGATGATTTAATATGTAGGTTGCATCAACCATGAGAATTTCTGGAAATTCATTAAAATATTGCCTCATATTGGGTGTTTGATAATATATCCCCTGAAGGGCATTGTTTTCAGAAACTATTTTTATAATATTATTAGGGTTTAAATTTTTTAATAAGTTGTAAACATCCAGGAGCTCAGAGTCCCCTGGTAGATATAATATATTCTTTTTTATATTGTACAAATCTCGATTTGTTGTGTAAACTCCTTTTTGTTGGAGGTAATATTTTATTTTAGGAATTGAGGCATCATATTCTAAACATTTAATAATGACAGCTCTTGATTCTTCAGTAATTTTACGCTGTTTCGGTAAGCGTTTGAATAAATTAGAATCTAAATTAATAATATGGTATTACATTTGATAAAAATATATACCCAAATCATGATTATGACCAGAATTCATTTTTGTAACCTCAAGCACATGTCTTTTTTCTTTTATTATGTGCTTAACTGAGAAACTATTTTGGCAATTTTTTTGCAATGTTTGGGTAAGTCGTTTTCCTTTCCCACGACTTTTAAATTTTCTTCCACCATGAATGCAGACATAACGTTTGTATTTATAAATCATTGTATGAATAATTTTTTGATCAAAATTGGTAAGTTTAGTACATGTCGCTATAAGGTAATTTGTACATATACTATATTCTCATATCTATTTATAGCTTCCTGCAAATCATTAAATGATTCAAATTGAGCCCCAACCTAAAGATCAAAATTGCTGATGCGCATCCATAAGAATCTAGTATGATCAATGATATTGTAACTATATAAATACAATATACTTTTAAAATTTATGAGTATCCATTTTAATTATTACTGTTATTCGAATAAAATAATTATAAAACAAATTTATTAAAATGTAATAAAACTCTTATTATTTAATATACTAATACGGAATCACGTGGTCGAGTCCGGCCTCCTATATATTATCCCCCCAAGGATGGAACCACCAAGTTAGAATAAGAAAAAAAACATGACCATTCCCGG